GAAAATGTGAAATCAAAAAGAATGGTTGGACATATTCTCACTTAAAACTAACCTGGCCGTTTGTCTGGAAAAGGACCTCCAATCGGTTGTGAACTGGGGGAGAAATTGGCTGGTCAACTTCAATGCCTCAAAACAAAACTGCTCTCTATTAATCACCACAGAGATCCTTCCCTGTCCTCCATTAGAATGTCTGACGCTCAACTTCTCGAGAGCACCTCTCTGCGGCTGCTCGGTCTCACGTTGACTGCTGACCTGAGATGGAACAAATACATTGAGTCAATTGCTTCGTCCACCGCAAGGTAAGTTGGCTCCCTGTGCCGCGCTAGGAAATTTTTCTCCCCGGAATCGATCCTTCAGATCTACAAATCAACAATTCGCCCTTGCATGGAGTATTGCTGCCATATATAGTCTGGAGCCCCTTCTGTTTGCCTCGGGGTTCTTGATAGGCTCCAGAGGTGGATATGCTATATAATTGGCCCTGATCTGGCATCTCGTCTACAGTCACTTTCTCACAGACGCGCCACCGCGTCTCTCTGTCTGTTTTAGAAATACTTTCATGGCAATTGCTCCGAGGAGCTACATTCGCTGGTTCCCAGACTTCATGAATTCAAGCGCCCTACGAGGCTGACATCCCGCTCTCACCCTTTCACTGTTGAAACTACTAAATGTAGCCGTCTCTTCTACTCCAATAGCTTCATGTCTCGCACCTCTCACCTGTGGAACTCCCTTCCCTATTCCAGTTTCCCTGAAAGCTATAATCTCCAACTATTCAAATGTAATGTTAATCGACATATCAGTTGCCTTGATCTATCCACTACTCTTCTCCTCATTTTTCTTCTATCACTCCTATCTGATCTTGCTCCAAATTTTCTGTAACCCCTTGCGTCCTAGTGGCTTCCCGCCTTGCTTGGGGTGAAACGCTTAAAAAAACATGCTGTTACTTGTGTTTGGCGGAATACTGACCTGTATAAATGGTCCTCAGCTGAGCAATATCAACAGTTCTCATGGCTCAACTTGATGAGTCAGTTTTTTTATGAACGACACGGGGAAATTCACTTATGCGCCATACGTGATACACGTTTAGGCTATCATGTATCTTTCGAGGCAGATATTTTCTCGTAATTGGTTGCCCTTTCAAGGCTATAGAACCCGATCTGGCCTGCTATTCACCCATAGCTGAAGGAGAAGAAGAGGATTCATACCAACGGTATTAGCACGTAAGTGAATGTAATGGATTCCACTGGAATTCGAACTCAGCTCTCTAATTCCTCAATCCGAACCGCGGAAGACGGGAATTAATATTCAAGTAAATATATAGAATCTATCTCTAATACTCCTTTACATACATACTTATGCTATTAGAGGGAAAGATTAGTGAAGATAAATATTGATTTTCTACATGTATTTATATCTGCACGTTTATGGCAGTATATATGTTTGTTGTATGAACTTCTGTGTATATACATAGAGTTATGTGCACATATGTACTCACGTGCATGCATGTATGTATGTACGCTCTTTCTTCTGTTTGTTTTCCCTTACCTTTTTAAAATATTTTTATTTTATTATTGATGTAATTTTTAATATTTTATTATTATTATATTTTATTCTATTCTATTTTATTTCATTTTATTTTATTATTTTATATGTCTTTTCCATCATTTTTATTATTTCCCTTTCACTTCCTTCCTTTTCATCATTATTCTAACCGTGTTCCCTAGCTTTCTACCCACGACCACGAGATATGTCAATTTTTGCTACAACTTGCAACACGCGAGACGTTTTTCCATCTATCCAACTTATAAGACTCTTTACCAATGTTTAGTCTCACTCCCCGACACATAATAGTAACAATAGATCTGATTAACAATTTTACACCGATCAAAATTTAAGTTTATTTTTATAATCCAGTGGTTAGACGGTGATCTGGATTTATGTGATTTAGCTACAAAAACATTTCTCTATGAATTATTGTCTGTTCCTCGGAGCGTTGATGAATGGCACGGGCGTGTCCGAAATTTCAGAATTTAAAACCATTCTCTCCGTGATTCATTTGCCATTAGATTTCACCCCAATCAAAGCAGTAAAGCCACTAAAATACAAAGGGTTATCTATCTATCTATCTATCTATCTATCTCTTATCATAGGTAAATCATTAAACTTTTATTTTCAACGCAATCTTTTTCCTTGTCAATGCACTTATAGAATCCAGGTGTCTCCCTCTGGAATATCAAATTTCTCTATCTATCTATCTATCTATCTATCTATCTATCTATCTATCTATCTGTTTTTCATATCTATCTATCTATCTATCTATCTATCTATCTATCTATCTGTCAGTTTTTCATATCTATCTATTTCGTTCTTTTCATTATCTAATTTTGTTCATATCTATCTATCTATCTATCTATCTATCTATCTATCTATCTATCTATGTCAGTCTATTCATATCTATGTCAGCCTTTTCTTATCTACCTCTTAACGTAGGTAAATCATTAAA